TGGAAAACCCAGTATGGAAACTGTACTCTCACGAAAGCTAAAACCGATCGTTAGTTAAGATTCTCTCTCTCGAGCTCGAAACAATGCATTTTTATGCGATTAATGACTAAGTTTTTTTTTTTCGTTATCATTAAAAAATAAACTAAAAAATGATATTACGCTAAATAATTTGTAGAATTTTTTAAATTTATGTTGAAAAAGGGAAAAATAATTAATTTTATTAATGATAAAAAAAAATTATTTTAGCGTTTGGCGCGTATAAAGACCAACCAACTCCAACACACAAAAAGAGAACCTCTCAAAGCTATGGAACAGAAAGGAAGAGAGAGAGATGAAAACACAAAGCGCTTCTAGAGAGAGAAAACAGGAAGAAGAAGCTCAAACAGAGATACTGTAGTGTAAGAGAGAGAGAGAGAGAAAAAAGGGCAAAAAAAAAAAAAACCCACAAAATCCAAAAAGAAAGCGCTTCCCCAACTCCATTCATCTTCCCCAATCTCTCTTCAGACGATCCCCATGTGATCGGAACCTCCATTCTTCCAGCAACAATTCAATATTCTGTTCTTCACTCATTACTGCGCAATCAGTCACTAATCCATCACTTTTCAGTCATTCAACCAGCGGAGGCCGTACGATGAAGCCGTACGGTCAGTCTATGGAAGGCTCTCAGTCCGATCCGTCGCCTGAATGGACTGCGTCGGGACCTGATACAGGTCATGGAGGTCAGTTTCTCTACACTGCATTCCGACTTCACTCTTGACTTCTACAGATTTTCGCTTCGATTCGTCGGTTTTAGTGGTTTGCTGATGGTGTTTCTTTGTTTGTTTGTTTGATTTTTTATTTTCCGATAATGTAGAGCCGGTTTGGCCGTTGGGATCGAGGGAACGGGAATCGTACCCCGAAAGGCCTGAAGAGGCCGATTGTATATACTATCTACGTACCGGATTTTGTGGATATGGCTCTCGTTGTAGGTTCAATCATCCTCGTGAGCGTAGCGCGGTATTCCTGTCGATCCTTATCTGCTTGACTGAATTGGTCTAATTTTAGGGCTTACTTTGAGGTTTGATTGGGCTTTAAGCAATTTGATGCTTCGAACTGCTCTACTCAAGCTTCACTTCTATTATTTTTTGAGTTTATTTGTTCTTCAATTTGATGCTTCGAACTGCTCTACTCAAGCTTCACTTCTATTATTTTTTGAGTTTATTTGTTCTTGTTTACTTTCCACTCTACGAAGATGAGCTTTTCTTTTAAAATGTTATCGTTGAACTGTCGGCAAAGTGCTTTCAACTCTAGGCCTCTTTTTTTTATTCGTTGATTTTGGTGGATTTCGCACTGATCAGGTTTTGGGAGGTTCGAGACCTGGTGGAAGAGACTATCCCGAACGAGTAGGGCAGCCTTTGTGCCAGGTACTTTGTATTGGTGGTTCGATTGGATATGAAACTGTTCGTATCTAGTCTTCATTGGGATGATGTTGAACAATGTGCGTTAGTGAAATTATGTGAGAGTGTAGGACGGGGGCTTGTGTGTTTATTTTGACTACGATGTGTTGTAGTTGGTTGATTAATGTATATGCATAGTATCTTGTTCATGGGTTGTGATTGTTCTGTTGATCTGAATGAAATCTGCAGTACTATATGAGGACAGGAATGTGCAAATTTGGTGCTTCCTGTAAGTATCACCATCCTCAGCAGGAAATGGGTTCTCTCAGCCGGAATGTGCAAATTTGGTGCTTCCTGTAAGTATCACCATCCTCAGCAGGAAATGGGTTCTCTCAGCCCTGTGTCTTTGAATTTCTATGGCTATCCACTTCGGCAGGTTCGTGCTACTTCCTTTTATACGCTTTGTTTACGTTTGTATGTTATTGTTCGAGTTCGAGGACACGCACTGATACATTTGTATATGTCCAGGGGGAAAAGGAATGCTCTTATTATTTGAAGAATGGGCAGTGCAAGTTTGGTGCTAGTATATGTCCAGGGGGAAAAGGAATGCTCTTATTATTTGAAGAATGGGCAGTGCAAGTTTGGTGCTACGTGCAAATTTCATCACCCTGAACCGGCTGGTTTGCAGTTTCCAGCACCATCACCCGTTCAGGTTGCACCACTGCCAGCTCCAATGCCTCCTGCACCGTCTGTTTACCCGCCCGTGCAGTCTCCATCTGCACATTCGTCACAACAGTATGGAGTAATACTAGCAAGGTCTCCAATGCTGTCAAGCCCTTATGTTCCCAGCCCTTATGGTCCTATGTTGGTCTCCCCAGGGGTTGTACAATTCCCAAGTTGGAATCCTTACCAAGTATGTGCAGTCCGTTATTTGCCATTTTGTTTCCTTTTATCCGTGCACCTAATGGAGCTGTTAACGATTGGTGCAGGCACCTATGAGTCCAGTAGCCTCTCCCAGTGCTCAACCTTCTGTTGGATCAGGGCAACTTTATGGTATGGCACAAGTTTCGCCTTCTGCACCTGCCTATGCTGGATCTTACCAGCCAATGCCATCTGCTGGTGCGTCAAGTACTAGCCAGAAGGAGCACTCGTTTCCAGAAAGACCTGGGCAGCCAGAGTGTCAATATTACATGAGAACAGGGGATTGTAAATTTGGATCTTCTTGTAGATACCATCACCCACCAGAATTGGCTAATTCGAGATCAAGTGTTGTTCTTAGCCAAATAGGTCTTCCTCTACGCCCGGTTAGTCTCTCTTAACTCAGAAACCTCAAACTTGGATTAAAAATGATGCTTTGATTGTCAATCTTTTTTTGTCTATCTTATATCTTGAGTCACTTTTCCCTAACTTCAATAGTTTGAGTGTATCATCCTTTGCCCCATTTGGACGTTTTTAGTGATTGACATTAGTTTTATTGTCCAAATGTCGATTCTCCAAATGTTATTTAATTGCAGTAAAAAAAAAAAAAAAAAAAAAAAAAAGCTTAATTCCAAAACTACTGTTGAGATTATTGCTCAGGTCTATGGGAGAAGGCTTAATGCTCAGCCATCCATAAGATGTAGTACTTTTCCCTATAACTGATTGCTCAAGCTATGAATTGATGATATAATGTTTTTCCTGCTCTTGTTTTGAATATCTGAAGTGGTTATATGTCCATAGAGCATGGTTTGACTGCTAAGTTGCGGACGTTTGCAGTTAGGTCTGTTTGAGTAGTTAACGTAGGTAAAGTGTTGAAATATGTATCATATTCTGCAACAAAATTTCTTGTTATTAACACTGTAATTTTGGGGACTTTTAGTCTCAATATGTTGTTGACTACCGATGACTGAAATTAGCTTTCATGTCATTGTCATTATTTACAGTATAAAGTCTTGGTTTTATTTATTTTTATTTTTTCTTTATCTTCCTGACGTGACAATCATATGTTATTTATTTTCTCCTTGAGATCCAAGTTGGAAGAGCTCATATAAACTTCACGTTACATAAAACAAAAATTGTTCCCCCTTGAGGACTATACGTATTGGAGCTGTTAGATTTAGGGTTTTGTAGTGCTTAAATTTCCTTTCCTTTTCTGCATACTATACGTATTGGAGCTGTTAGATTTAGGGTTTTGTAGTGCTTAAATTTCCTTTCCTTTTCTGCATAGCAAGAGCTTAAAGTGGATAAAGGAAGTTCTTAGTGGCAAACTTGTACCGCACTGTACTTTGTATGCTATGTGATGGGCTTAAAAGCAATTCAAACATTGATTGAATTTTAATCTTCTTCTTATTCTGCAGCTATGCAGCTGCTATCCTTGCGAGTCAAAAGGCTAGATTGAGTTTATTATCATTATTCAAATACTACGTTAGTTTAGATTAATGCATTTTCTGGGAGCCATTTATTGAGTTTATTATCATTATTCAAATACTACGTTAGTTTAGATTAATGCATTTTCTGGGAGCCATTTATCTCTTCTTTCTTAATGTTTATATGGTTTTATTTCTCTCTTTAGCCGTGTTGGCAGATGGTTTCTAACACTACCTTTTGTCAGGGTGCACCACCTTGTACTCACTTCATGCAACGAGGAATGTGCAAGTTTGGCCCTGCATGCAAATTTGACCACTCGATGGAACGACTTAGCTACAGTCCATCTGCATCATCTCTTGCTGATATGCCAGTGGCACCTTACCCTGTGGGATCGGTAGTCGGTACTTTAGCCCCATCATTTTCATCCTCAGAGTTGAGGCCTGAACATTTTTCAGGACCCAGAATGGATTCTAACCCTTCAAGAATGTCTTCATCAACGAGCACCTCTAGTGGATTGGCTGGTTCAACTACATCGAGGACAGAAATGCATTCTCATTCAAATGTTCAACGATCTTCTCAAAGTTCAGGCCTGTCAGCGAGCAGTACCTCCAGCCCCACCAGTGTGGAGGGACGTACTTGAAGTATGCTGCCTCAGGATCAAAAGATCCCCATTTTTTGCCCAATCCCAAAACCAAAGACCTTTCCTTTTCCCATTATAATGGTCCCATAGTCCCAGGTCTAGCATACATCAGCTCTGACCTTCTGTGTCCATACAATCCTTATATTTCAATTTATCTCAGCCTGAATAAGTTATGGTCAACCTAAAAGAATGTAGCAAACTTCGTACAGCCTTCTTCCTGCCTTTAGAATAATCCTGAAAGCAGCATAGCAAATTAGGTAACTCTGCATCACAACTTCATTCCTGGAGTTTGTCGCCCAGTTTGCTGCTTAGATCGATCTTCTTCGAGACATACAAAATGGTCTGTTCCACGGTGATTTCTTTTCGAGCTACACTCTAGATCGATCTTCTTCGAGACATACAAAATGGTCTGTTCCACGGTGATTTCTTTTCGAGCTACACTCAGCTTATGTCTATCTCTTTCCATGTTTTCCTATGACCGGGGAACAAGCTCTCAATTCAAATTGAATATGAATTTGAATCTACGTTATATTCCCACTCGTTTTTTCCCTCATTTATTGTGGAAAAAGATGTATTTAAGACTCGGGGAGTCATCCCATTGCCACTCGTTTTTTCCCTCATTTATTGTGGAAAAAGATGTATTTAAGACTCGGGGAGTCATCCCATTGGCAATGTGATCTTGTACGGGATTTCAATATCACGTTATGTAGTGACATTCAATGCTGGACTTGGCTTTGAATTGATTTACAAAGTTTACATTTCAAAAGAAACGTGCAAATTCTATACCAATTGCCTTCTATATGTTGCTTGTGATATAATGCGGGGCAGTTCTTCCTTCTGAAGCCTTGTGAACTTTAGTGCTGAAATAATACTCCTCTCCCCCACCCACCTAACTTCTGATAATGCGTAGAAAAATACTTATACAATACAGATCTCTTCTTGCTGTTGAAATAGGAGAGCCATGATGATGCTACCCCAACAATATGAGGTAATTCTTCCCCCAATCTAGCTATTATTAATATCTGGTCATGATGATGCTACCCCAACAATATGAGGTAATTCTTCCCCCAATCTAGCTATTATTAATATCTGGTGGCTATTGAACTTGCAAGATAAGATTCACCGATGGGTTATACTGTTGTTTATTACTAGCAAATAGACAAATCATGATAATATGCTGATATATGTCTGCTGATGCCTCTAAGCAATTCATTTTGTAATGATAGACAAATCATGATAATATGCTGATATATGTCTGCTGATGCCTCTAAGCAATTCATTTTGTAATGCAGGTTCCTGATTTCGTTTGTCTACGAGGGAATCTTTTCAGATTCAGATGTCCCACTTCCTTTCCCCCTTTCTGAAGGTAACTGTTGCTTTCTTGAACATTCTAGAAGTGACCCCATTTGCAAAAGTCAAGGACAACAGGCCTACACATGCCAACAAAAAGCTTCAATCAGTCGAACCCCCAAAGCCAAGCAGCAAAATAGGTAAAGGAACAACATGCCAACAAAAAGCTTCAATCAGTCGAACCCCCAAAGCCAAGCAGCAAAATAGGTAAAGGAACAAAGAAGAAGCCGCCTCAGCCGAGAAGAAAAGGGACAGTGAATGAAAAACATGGTCAAGCTGGTCTCAAATATGGCTAAAATGCACTGGTGAGCTTCTGAAACTGAGGTCTTTTTAATCATAAATGGGTCTCTTCAGTAGTTCGTTAGGTGTTCTCAAATTCTCTCTACCTGAAAAGTTATATGCTATTTAAACCGTTGTGTTGGAAAAGTTAAATGCTATTTAAACCGTTGTGTTGTCTTTTGCTTTTAGTGATATAACGTTGCTTTTAAAATCTTCTCTCATTCTTACTTTTAAACTCGCTTTCAAAAATCTATCTACCTGTTTTTTAAAACCTTCCTCTCAAACGGGGCATATATTGCCTGGCCGTAGATGACGTGAATACAAATTGACTTGATTCACTTGGTGTAGGGAGTGAGTGCTGCACAATTGCAAAGTCCGGTGCAATTGTGACAAGTGTAAAAGCACTTTCCATGGAATCACTTTTTAGAGTAGTCGGGTATATAGAATGCTATGTTCTAGAGATGAACTCTTACCCTTCCAAGATCTTCTCTGCATTTATTCTTAGAATGTTTTGTTGATCTGTTCATGACCTCTAAATGGATTTCCTTCTCCCAATGCCTTTTATATTTTGGGTATTATTGTTGATCTGTTCATGACCTCTAAATGGATTTCCTTCTCCCAATGCCTTTTATATTTTGGGTATTATTCTTGTGTGCTTTCTTTACAAGGAATATGATAAAGCCATGTTTAAAAGATCTTCCTAATTCTCAGTTGCATATTGTTTATTTTCTTTCTTTAATTATTACCCTTAATTTCTAGATTCTTGGTCAAATTTCCCCTTTTTATTTTATCCTCTATTTACAATAATAGAATTTCCAAGTTCTTCACATGTGGACAACCAATCATGCAAATGCCTTCCAAGTTTGTGTTGTCAATTTAAAAGGACATACATTTGTAGACAATTCAAAGCAGCCTTAGATTAGGGTAAGTTGCTGATTAACATTTTAATTTGACCCTTAAAGATTAGGACAACTGTCCTTATCATATCCCCTTGATTTGTACACCCACATGCCCCTATGTTTGGCTTCTTAATTACCAAAGCTTACCCACTTTTTAGTTTTTTAATATTACTAATTAAGACCATACAAATGACAAATAAGTCAACTTTTTCATATTTGATTCGGTCAACTTTAACAAATATTTTGATTTCATCCACATGGACCATACTACTAATTATAATATTTTCAATTTATACTTCTTTTACTAAGTTTTGATGAAACAAATAAGTTGAAGAACTTTGTAAGATTTAATGCCTATCGTGAGTTTAATTAACATAGGTGTTCATTAGTATGTAACAAAATATATTTTAGCTAAGTTGTGAAACGGGTGAAAAATGAGAGAGATTTCGATTTTTCCTTGAGTTCAGTATGTGAGAGTGAAAATCTGTGATATCCCACATAGGTTGGAGAGGAGAACGAAACACTGTTTATAAGGTTGTGGAAACTAGTAGACGCGTTTTAAAGTCTTGAGAGGAGCTCGTAAGGGAAAGCTCAAAGAGGATAATATCTGCTAGTGGTGGGCTTGAACCGTTACAAATGGTATCAGAGCTAGACACCGGGCAATGTGGCCAGCGAAAAGGCTGTTCCCTAAAGGGGGTAGACGAGAGGTGGTGTGTTAGTAAGGACGCTGGGCCCCAAAGGGGGGTGAATTTGGTGGGGGTCCACATTGATTGAAAAAAGGAACGAGCGCCAATAAGGACGCTGGGCCCTGAAGGGGGTGGATTGTGATATCCCACATCAGCAGTTGGAGAGGAGAATGAAACACCCTTTATAAGGGTGTGAAAACCTCTCCCTAGCAAACACGTTTTTAAGTCTTGAGGAGAAGCCCGAAAGGGAAAGCCCAAAAAGACAATATTTGCTAGTAGTGGGCTTGGGCCGTTACAAAGTCGAACCTCTAATCTTTTTATTGAACATTGACACTTTACCTAATTAAACTATGCTCAAATTGACGACTTTTCTAATGGTAAACCCTAATAGTTGAAAGTATAAAATTTTTGAATTACGTGAATCTTTTCTCAGAGCGTAAAAAATTCATTTTTAAGTTTATACCGTAAAAGATGTCTTAAAAAATTATTTTTGACCCTTTAGGTTAAAAAAAGATTATCTTTTTATACACATGATTGGAAAGAATATACTTCTTCCTTCCAAATCTATTCTTTTAAAAGAATATTCAAGTGATTTTCCTCTCAACAACAGCACTTGAGTAAACTTTCCCTGTTATAAAAACACTTCAAACCAGAGATTGGCTATCTGTCTAAAACAAAAGCATTGTAAGTTTTTGTCTTCATTAACATTACAAAATGACAAAAACAAAAGTGGGGAACAGAGAGAGAGAGAGAGATAAAACAGTAGCTTTGGAGATTAAAACATGAACTTTTTTTTCCATATCACAGTAGGAAATACAAAGCAGCAGAGAAAGTACATGCATGAAAAAAAAATAATAATAATCCTATCTTTTAGCCTCAGATTCACCAACTTCAAACCCATTGCTGCTCAAAGCAATGGATACCCAAAATCAAATGCATCACCAAAAGGAGGAACTGAAGGACAACAAGTAGAAGACTGAGGCAACAAACCACCATAAGAACTGTTCATAAATGGATGAAAAGCTTCCTCTTCAGCCACCATGGCAGAGGAGGATGAGGAAGAAGATGAGCTATTGATTATTGCTGAGAGTTCATCACCATTACTCTCCCAAATTTGCTGTTTTTCCCACACTCCATCATTACAACAATTTGGTTCATTCACAGCAGAGCCATAAGTCATGGCTGAAACATCCAGACCTTCAAAAGGAAGTGTATCAATGGAGTTTGAGCCAAAGAAGCTGAATTTTTGAAGATGATCATTTGATTCAATGGATCTAATGCTGTTCTTGAGCTGGGTTTTGTGGGTAGAATCTGAAGGGGGTTTCAAGCAATTATCAGGTACAATGCAGCTCAAGTAACCAGAGTTGGAATCATTAGAGAAGAAGAAATTGGTGTCATGATCATTAGCAGAAACATGGTGATTTGATGAAGTTTGAGGAATGGAGGGCTGAGATTGAGCTTGATGAAGAACAGGGGAGTGAGTATCAGAATTAGGAAGCAAAGTTTGGACATCAAAAGCAGAGAGAATGGAATGGAAAGTTGAGGTGTCAGAGTAAATGAAGTTGGTTCTTGCTTGAGTACCCTTCATTGACAGGGCTGCCCTGTCATAAGCCAAGGCAGCTTCATGGGCAGTGTCAAAAGTGCCAAGCCAGTGCCTTTCTTTGGTTGTTGGGTCTCTAATTTCAGCAGCATATCTGCCCCATGGCCTTCTTCTGACACCAAGGAACCTTCCTGGTTCAGCTTGTTTTCTTCTGCCTCTTCTCTCTCCTCCAGTTTGAGATATTGGAGAGGAGTTTCTTTGAATTAGAGCAAAACCCATTTGAGATTGAGCAGTTTCATAAATTGGGTAGGCTTTATCAGAGGCTTTGGAGGTAGCCATTAGAACAAAAGGGAAAAACCAGTAGAATATGAAGGGGAAGAACAGTTTGCAGCAGAGATAAAGGGAAGCTTTAGAGGTTTTTTGGGTTTGGGATGAAGGATTGAAGCAGCTCTTGAAGCTCTTTTTAAAGAGTGTGAGTTGGTGAAGGAGAAAAAGGAAAGAAAAAAAGAAGAAAAAGTACATTTTACATATCATTCTATGGAAGACCCTCACTGTTCTTATTCAATCCCTTTAATCACTCTGATATGAAAGAAAAAGGTACAAATCCAGGGATATTGTTTTACAATCTCATCAAATATAATATTTGAAAACGCTATTTACTTTCTTTTCAAGTCCCCATAACAGTTGGAACTATCCCTAAAAGAAGAACAAACAAACAAAGAAGAAGAAAACACACCAATTTGAATATGTTCAATGTTTACATGGCTCAAATAACCCACCAATTTGGACATGTTTGTGCGCAGTTCAAGCCAAACAAAACCAAAGAAAGAAGTTTGGTTTGTTTTTTTGTCTCTGCCCTTCTGTCATTTTAGTCCATATATTTTTTCCCCGTAATGTAACGTGTTGAGGATTGTTGGGAGGGAGAAGAGGTTGATCATGGGTTTATAAGTAAGGAATACATTTTCATTGGTATGAGGTCTTTTGGGGAAACCAAAAGCAAAATCACGAGAGCTTACACTCAAAGTGGGCATTATCATACCATTATGGAGGTTTGTAATTCCTAACATGATATCATAACCATGCCCTTAACTTATTCATGTCAATAGAATCCTCAAATGTCAAACAAGGAAGTTGTGAGTCCGGGATGGTGTAGTAAAAAAGTAACTCAAGTATCGAACAAAGGGTGTACTTTGTTCGAGGGATCTAGAGAAAGGAGTCGAGTCTCAATTAAGGAGAGACTATCATACCATTGTGGAGGTTCATGGTTCCTAACATAACGTTTGCCAAAAAATGCATGTAATAAGGCCAAATGGAGATAACGGGCCAAATCTCTCGCTATGTCAATGGCTTTCTAAGTTGTTTGTACGTGTAAGTACCATATCAGGTCCATTTGGTTTTCACTTAAATCCAAACTAGAATATCTATTAACATTTAAAGTTATTACACAAACCAAAGTAGAAAAGAAAGACACAAAAATGCATTTTGACTAACAAAAGATCAGACAAAAAGTGTTCCTCAGGCTTGTTTGAACACTGTGATTCCCTCCAAAACAGTTCATTTTAATGACCAATGGTGGGTTGAAAAGAGAGAGAGAGAAAAAGATGAAACAAACAAAGACCAAGCTGTAAAAAACTGAAGAGGAAAACTAGGCTAGTTTGGAACAGAATGCCTGTAAAAAGTAGTACAATTTCCCAGCTTAACTTTCTTTGAGACCTTTTATCAAACAGTTGAAGGGCATAACCTTGAATGAAAGAAACATGGGTCAGTTTCTTTTCACTCTGATCTCCAAAAGCAATGATAAAAAAGGCTAGATAGAGTCAAAAAAGGGGCAAGACAAATTAAGTTGAGAAGGAGATTAAACTGCAGCAAAACCAAGAGCAAAAGCAAAAGAAAGGTGCATATGTGGGGCATCTAAAATCAGATATATAATAGCGCAGAGGTTTTTGAATGATACTCAAATTCACATGCTAAAATGGCATTGGGAATAGCATAAACCAATCATAATCCAATTGGGTAAGGCTTGTTGTTCTTGTTTTTAGCAAGGACTCCTCACAATCATGCTTCCACCAATATTAAACATAATGATTGAGGCATATTCTGACTGTAAAAAAACATCTCAACAACAAGACAAATGGCAGAAAGTGGCACATAAATAATATATAATACGATGATGTATCAAACAAATTTCACTAACTCGAAAAACTTCTCTTCTTTTTGGTATAAAAAAGTGTTGATTCTTTTGATTTGTTGTTTGTTCATAGTCATAGAAATGATGGATTCTGTCAATGACTCCCATTGACTGATCCACTAAAATCCCAAACGGACAAACACCCATTTCCCTAAATAGGGATTTCTAGTGACCCATTTGAGCAAATTAGAGAGAAGAGAGAGATTTTGGTGTCTTTTTTTGTTCTTTTGGGAAAGGTTACTTGAAGACAACACCGAAAGTGGAAGAGGGCAATTTTTTTAGGGTTTTGGAGAATGGGAAGCACATGGAGGGGAGGGGAGGGGAGAGGAGGGGGCAGGGGAAGGCGAAGGCGAAGGGGAAATGAAGTGATTTAGATGAGTTTTTGGGCATTTGAACACCACAAAGTTTGGTCAATCCTCTTATGAAAAGGTGTGTGTGACCAAACCAAACGGCAAAGGCCAGGCCACCTACTTCTAAAATGAAACTCAACTCACTTTCTTTTCAACTAAGTAATCATTTGATCTTGAATTTAGTTCATAAAGATTTTAGCCGAGCTCGGTTTGATAACCGTTTTGTAAATATCACTTACTTACTGTATCACGAGAGTATGATATTGTGAGATCCCACATCGGTTGGAGAGAAGAACTAAACAATTTTTATAAGGGTGTGGAAACCTCTCCCTAATAGACACGTTTTAAAATTGTGAGACTGACGGTAATACATAACAGCGAAATTGGACAATATTTGTTAGTGATGAGCTTGTGTTGTTACAAATGATATTAGAGCCAAACATCAAGCAGTGTGTTAGTGCGGACGTTGGCCCACAAGGGAGGGTGGATTGTGAGATCCCACATTGGTGAGGGAGAATAACAAAACTAACAAAACATTTTTTATAAGAGTGTGAAAACCTCTCCCTAACATACACGTTTTAAAACTGTGAGGCTGACAGCGATACGTAACGGGCTAAAGTGGACAATATTTACTAGCGGTGTGCTTTCCCGGTTACAAATGGTATCAGAGCCAGACACCGAATGGTGTGTCAGTGAGGACGGTGGGGAATTGTGAGATCCCACATTAGTTGGAGATGAGACCGAAACATTCCTTATAAAAGTGTGGAATCTTCTCTCTAAGAGATGAGTTTTTAAAACCGTGAGGCTGACGACGATACGAATGGGTCAAAGTGGACAATATTTATTAGCGGTGAGCTTGGGTTGTTACAAACGGTACCAGAGCTTGACATCGAGCGGTGTGTCAATGAGGATTCTGGCTCACAAGGAAGGTGAATTGTGAGATCCCATATTGGTTCAAGAAGAGACTTAAATATTTGTTAAAGGGTGTGGAAGCTTTTCTCTAACATACTCTTTTTAAAATTGTGAGCTTGACGTCGATACGCAATGGACAAAAATGGACAGTATCTACTAGTGGTGGGCTTATGCTATTACGGTTCCATGGTAGTTTTTTATTTTTAAAATTTATTAGATAAATACGACTTATTGAGACAAAGAAATTAGGAAAAAAATGTTTTTTTTTTTCAAGAAAAAACAAAAAACAAAAACCACTTGAAAAAAAAAAACACCTCTCAAGGTAGTGATTTGGTTGAGAGACAAGAATTTTGCACATTGTTCGAAACAGGCAAAGGGCAAACTTGGGATTTTATTATTAATATTTTCGAAGTGGGTCGCCCGGGATTTGGGGAAAAAGATAAACGTGTTTTGACGACAACTTTCTTTTTTCCCCCTAAAAAAAACATCTTTCTATGTTTTTCTAAGTTCCTACTTTATTTATAAACTTACTCCACTTATATAATTAATATCTTCTTTTTATTTTGCACCGAACCAAAATTTTGAATTTCCGACCTCTCCAAAGTTACGTAATATTTTGACTAGTTGAGTTATCCGTGCATTTAGCTTCGACCTATTAGAGAGTTGGAGAGCCACAAACTCAAAGGTCATCTCGGTGTTTGTGCCAAACTTCATCTAAACTTATACCCCCCGTTGAAACTTAAGAGAGTTAGAGACCTGAAGTTCGTTACTTTCGGAGTTCTTCTCCACGTTTGGAGAGAGAGAGAGCTAGAAATCACGAGTTCTTCCCATCCAAACCTCTTCTCGACGTTTGGGCCACAATTTGGCCAAACATCAACTGACTAAAGTTTGTCATTTCCAGGCTTCGTCACGACGTTTTTGTTCGTCTAAGCTTAGACAGAAACCCTAAGCTTGTCTCGACCCTCGAAAATAGGCATATTAAAAATGTAAAAACCAAAATAATATTTAAACCGTAAATAAAACGGTCAATAATATTTAAACCTTTGACCCTCGAAAATAAGTAAAGACCTAACTTTTATACTATGCTTAGATTAACGACTCACTCACTTAACCGTGTGATTAAATTTTTGTAATAAAAATATAATCCAAAGTTTGAATACATGATTAAAAACTTTTTAATATGGTAAGATTTAGTATTAAATCTATAGTTTGAAAGTAGATAGATTAAACATAATTTAATAATAATCACTAAAGGAAAATAATAATAATAATAATAATAATAATAATAATAATTTAATCTAAATTTTTTATATTCCAAGATTGTCCCTTTGTGTTTTAGCCCTTTTCTGGTTCTACTCTTTTTAGCTATTATTTTATTAACAATAATTTGACCCAATAATAATAATAATAATAATAATAATAATTGAAGCACTCTGTCCTTCGTATTGAAGTAATCCATTTTGTAAGATCTATACACCTTAAATGTTTTTAAAATAAAAATTCAAATATATAAAGAATCAAATCCAAATTAATTATACAAAATAAAACGAATAAAATAAGAAAATGACACAAATTGTGGTTCCCACGTTCGTTAGAGAGGGGAGCGAGCAAACCTTAGAAGGGTATAGAAATCTCTCCGTAGTAGACCGTTTTAAAATCGTGAGGCTGTCAGTGATGCATAATGGGTCAAAGAGGACAATATCTACTAGCGTCGAGCATGAGTGATATGCAAGTCCTTGCCCTCTAAAGAGGCTAGACTGTCAGATTCCACGTTGGTTGGAGAGGGGAATGAAACATTTCTTATAAGGATGTGGAAGTCTTTTCATAGTAGATGCGTTTTAAAACGGTGAGTCGATACGTAACTGTTACAAATGATGTTAGAGCCAGACATCGAATAGTGTGCCAAGGAAAACAATGAGACCATAAGAGAGTGGATTGTGAGATCCCACGTTGATGGGAGGGAAAGGAAGGACGGGTAATTTTTAATTTATATTTTTAAATTATTATATGAAATTTGAAAATTGAAAAAAAAAAAAGGGTTTTTTATTTATTTTTATTTAAAAGGTTTAAATGGATAGTGTCTTGGTGGCAGACCAGAGCACTCATGCAGCATGAACAGATGGACTTGAAAGACACAAATTTTGAACATAATTTTGGGCTAATTGGAGCCTTTGGTCAAATGGGGTTTGACCAATAATAATAATAATAATAATAATAATTTTAATTCCATTAACTTTTTTTTTTAATTAAAAAAAAATTGTTAATAATAAATAGGGTTTCAAAGTAAAATGCCCCAAAAGACAACCTTTTTGGGAAGCATGCAAAAACCTTTTGAATTAAAAGCTTCTTCACAAGTGGGTCTCACATTTTAGGAGTTTATTGACCTTCCCATTTTACAAACTTTTTCTTAGGTTTTTATTAGGTCAACGGCTCTCGGGAAGGATTTCGAATTGTCGATCACGTTTAGAATAGTAATTGGTACCTCGTCCACTGAGCTAGACTCGATTTGACTACTTAAGAGAATTTTCTTTATTTTTGTAACAGTCTAAGTTCATCTCTAGCAGGTATTATCTGTTTTAGCCCGCTACGTATCACCGTCAGCCTCATGGTTTTAAAATGAGTTTACTATGGAAGAGTTTCTACACCCGTATAGGGTATGTTTTGTTCCCCTCTCTAACTTATATGGGATCTCACAATACACCCCCTTGGAGGCTAGTATCCTTGTTGGCACATCGCACAGTGACTGACTTTGGTACCATTTGTAACAGCCCAAGTCCACCGTTAGTAGGTATTGTCCGTTCTAGCCCTTTACGTATCGCTGTCAGCTAAATGCGTTTTAAAACTGTGAGGGTGACGACGATATGTAATGGGGTAAAACGGACAATATTTATTAGTTGTGAGCTTAGGTTGTTACAATTCGATAAAAGTACTTCATTCTAATCTACTTTCAAATGCATTTTAATTGATCAAAACACGAGTAAGTGTTCTTACACGTCTCAAAAGCTTAAAGTTCTATAAAAGAAACTAAACAGACGTTAATATTACCCATCATAATTAGCCTAACATCGTAGAGTTTCGCGTAACAACTAAATGTTTTAAGTTAAATAAGTTTGCAAAGATGGAAGAGTCTTAGGTTGACATTGGAAAATGGAGATAAGAAGTAAAAGAATGGGTAGAGATCACGTGCAATATGATGTACTTGAAATTTTTTTGTATAATATATAGAGAGTCAGATGTACGGTGTAGATTAAGTATTAATTAAATACATGTGAAGATGTACGGCGTAGATGATGAGTGATTGAGGAATGTGTTGATAGGATAATTATGAACAACAGTGGAATGAACGGTCAAAGATCGGAAAGGGATTTTATGATTAATTAGATTGGACGGCTAACGGCTAAGTCAAAGTGGCAAGAGGGTGTACCTTGTTGTCCCTATCGTAGGGCGCAAACCACTGGATTTACTCTCTTTGCCATTTAAAGCAAGAATTAGAAAAAGGACCGGTAAATTTTTTTAAAATTTCCATAATCCTCACGGTAACTAATGACGTAAGGTAAAAAAAATAAAAAATTTGTACCAAAAAAGGTAATGTATAATAATAATATATTTTTAAAAAAGCCACGTCGTCACCAAGAAGATGAACTTAAAAATAATAATAAAAAAAAAATCCAAGATTATAAAATAATAACAATTAAATTGGCAAATTATATACTTATATATTAAAAACTAAGTAAATATCAATTGAGAAGATTTCATATAAGTATATAATTTTATTATAACTTTGAAATTTTTATTTTAATTAAATTATAAGTTTATTACCTAAAGTTTAAAATTTTGAAGTTTGTGTGAAATAAGTTATTAGCATTTTGGTTAATTAATTTTTTATTTATGTTTAAATTAAAGCCTAAGAAATACAACATCTCCCAAAGATAATTTCTTTATTTTGTATTTAAAATTCAAGCTAAGATTTTTTTAAAAAAGTAATATAACTCTCTTAAGAAAATATTCGAATTCGAGTCAATATTTAAAAAAATAATAATTTTTTTAGAATATAGCTAAAAGTTTAAATATTTTTTTTGAAGAAATAAAAGAACTAGATAATAAAGCAGGGATTTTTTTTTTTTGTAAAATTAAAAAATAAATACACAAAATAGCAAAATTGATAAATAGAAATTAGAAGTTCACTAAACATAATTTTTTTTAATTAAAAAAAATAAAAATATAAAAATTTAGGAAGTAATTTAATATTCTACAAATTTCTATTAATTATTATTTAACCACTTAACTATATTAATTTTTTTTTCCCTCTTAATTTTGGTAGGTCCCAGACGTTGAATAGATGATGTAACATGGGTTATAAATTAATGATTTAGTAATTCTATAAATATTTTAAGCTCATCATAGCCTACTTAATATCATTATCATCAATTTTCATAATAAAAAAAAAGAAAAGAAAAGAAAAAAACTCATGATATCACCAACATTCTCTTATTTTATTTTTGTAAAGAAAAAACCACCTTTTTTGTTTCTCAAAATTGAAGCAAAGGTAGCAGCCTATGTATTATAATATTGGCTTAGATCTGAACTGTTGGAACAATGATGGCCAATCATTTCCATGTAATTAAAAGTATATATTCAAAATAAATAATATTTATTTTCTCAATTCCAAGAAATGTCACTTATTATTCAAACCTTCATTAATGATGAATAATAACAAATACAGCTTCTTTATTTTTCTTAACTTTAATTAATTTGTTGCTAATTACCTCATAATTTTGTTTTTGACATTTTACTTTTCCTTTTTTTTTGGGAATAAGAGTTGGTGGTTCAATTTATTTGGGGTCTAGAAATATAATTTCCTTAAAAAAAAACTTTTAAAATTTTAAAATTAAGGAATATGTAATTTTCACTTCTCAATTATATTATATATTATTATTATTAACAATATGTATGTTCATATAAATAATACGTAATGAAAAATTTAAAGAATATATCTTATTCATTTATAAAAATATTATAGGTTTGTTAAGAGATTACTTAGATAATTTCTCTTGAATTTTTTTATTTTATTCAAATTTGATGAAAAGAATCATTATTATTATTATTTTGAAACAAATTAAAAAAAAGTTATTTAAAAAACATAGGACCAAATGCGTCACAAACATAAATTCACATTTAACCAACAAGAGACAATATTAAAAGTTGAAAATGACTGTCATTTTCTCTCAATTAAGTGCACCCACTTACAAAATTTCAAAAGATTAATCATCGAGCTAATATTTTACAAGAAATTAGATTCTGCACTAATATTCTCATGCAACAGTCATCTGGTTTTAAACGTGTCACGTTGTTACTTTAAAGTCACATATGCTTTACTAATTGACTCGGATCGACATTATGCCACCGATTTTGATCGTCATTCGACCGCTTTTTTTGACTCGGGTAATGATATTGCTAATAATAATTGCCCAAAAAACTGAAATAATAAAGCTAGATTGTGTTTATTAGGGACAGCCAAGTGTAGAAGACAGAAAGAGACACATTTGAGAGAGTACATTAATCATGAACAATAACATGAACAGAGGAAGATCAGTACTAGGAAGAATCAGAGAAGCATTTATTTATTTATGGGGAAATGGAAAACGAATGACATTCTGAAAAGAATGATAGACAGAGATTTGAATGAGAAAAAAAACACCAAAAAAAAAATCTAATGTAAGAAATTGCAAGATTTTTTTTGCTGCATTTCAGGAGGGGGGTCGGTGGTCTTGCTTTGCTACTGAAGCATTCGTAACAGTCTTTCGTTTTCTTTCAGTTTCTATATCGAGTTGCGAGTCTACTCGTTCGATAATTATTTTTTTATTTTTTTTAAAATGATAGAGAACTAAAGAAGTCACATGTGGTAGAAATTAAAACATAAAAACAAACAATAAAATATATAAAAAGTGAACAACAAAATAAGGCAAGAATTTAAATGCAGAATAAAACGAGAGTTGAAGTATGAATTAAAGTAAACCAACTAACCAGAGAGAGACTGCAAATTAGGGGCAGATCCCAAGTCCCCGTGCGCCCATGCCGAGTGATCTTAGTCCAGTCCAACTAGATCCTCTTTTGATTTCATTCAAAAAGAAGTTAGACAAAAACTCTAAGAAAGTCATATAAATACTTTTCTTCAACCTCAAAAAAGTAAGTAAGCTCTTCCTAATTCATAAAATCTTATGCTAAATTCCCTTCAACTATAACTTAAGCTTCAAATTTTGTAGCGTCGAAGGCATTATCCTACTCAAAATATGGCAACAACAAAACAACAAAACTACAAAACTAAATATTAAAAATGTCGATAACGGTATCATTTCCTTCTTTATCTTGGCAAGCATCAATTTTTATCGACACTCGTGTGAGAGATAAACGAAACAATATAGGTTATAATAATACAAGGGTTATTGAACTTCCAATACAAACACCAATTCATTTTCTAATTTGAGTGCCTATGTTCTTAGATTGTCTATTATGAAGCCTTGCACAAAATAAAAATTAAAAAAAAGAGAGAAAATTGATATATCCTACATAGTTTACACATAGAATATGATGGTTACACAACAAATAATTTCACCAGCACTTTATATCAAAGAACAGCCTAGAACCTTGCAACTGCAACAGTTATGTAACAACACTCTAATTTGACATAAAGTTTACGAAGTCTATGCTGTGTCTATTTATGGTATGTGATCGACTCGACCGCAATTTTCATGAAATATTCGGATCTCCTTTCTACTCATTTAATTTAGCATTTGAGAGTTGGGTGCAAAGGTTACCATAAAATAATGCTGCTCCATTCGGATCTCCTGGATGTGTAAGGCTGTTCATCTGATCCATAGAGAAAATTCATCCTTCCTACCATTAAGCAAAGAACATGATGGTCAAAGCTTCTCAACCGTCATAAATCATAATGGAACTTTTGCGGAACATTTGCAACATGCCATAGAAATAAAGATAGCACCAGAAGAAATTTACTGAAACGTTAATAACCGTAGCTCTAGAGAAGTAACAATGGAACTGGCAATAGCACTGAGCATGAAAATATTACAGGCTTAATCTCAAAATTTAGAGCGAATTTCATAGGTTCCTTAAAACAATATCAATTCAAAGCAAGCAAATTCCAACGATGTACCTACCGTTATCAGCATCAAGCTACCAGTGAGAAAACAAAGGCGAGTTACTTCCACTCTGGCCATTTCACAGAATCTGATCTTTTCTTCATATTAGATGGACCAGAGCTATTGGGTGAATCATGCCAGATCATCTCCATCTGAAGATAAACGAAGCAAAAAAGTTACGGATGTCCAAGTTTTTTTCATCTCAATATCCAGAAATCCCACCAATTAGCTACATTCAAAAGAACAAATAGTAAAGAAAACTCATGCAGTGTGGATGTGATAGATTTCATGTATTTTTCCTACTTTATCTTCTTTATATTAATTTTCTCTTGTAATCAACTATTTTTAATCATTAGGCAGTTGATTAATTTCTTCAGGCATGTTAGCTTTCATTTCTGTCACCAAAAACATAGCTAGAGAGTTTCTAAGATACAATTGGAAATGCAAGTGATCTATGTAGCTGTAGCATATGGTATATAACTAGCATGTGGTGTAAAGAGGATGCGAACCTAAATCCTTTACCTTGAACATCATTCATCAGTTGTGGCATAAATCTTAAGACAAGCAATTGTGTACATTTGTTCCTTGATTTTTGGAGTCATAAGCTACCCTCAAATTTATATAACCACATTTGGACAACTGTTTATTTAAATGATGAATACAGAAGATAAAGTTATTGAGTTGTTAATTGCTTGATATTGATGTTTTAGAAAGATGATTGAACCATCAAAATCTCAACAATAGAAGCTTATTTGTAATTTAGCGAGAGAGAGACTACATAACATTTTTAGAGCAAAACGAAGAAGATTGAAGGTTATTGACTTTCTGCTTTAGGTCATGTACTCACTAAAATTGTCTGTACTTTTGCATGATCTTTGGTATGTATTTCATGCATGCAACTATGTGAGTTTTGTGCAGCATTGCTATGAACTAATGACAAAAGTGCTAGGCTGAGCCAATTAAATTAAAAAATAAAAAACGAAGTAACATCTAGCAATAAAATGAAGCATGAAATATACCTCTGCAACAAATACTGTGTCACCCTCCTTGATGCCAAGTTTTCTGAGAGACTTGTTGACACCACATGCCTCCATGACATGTTGGAACCTTCTTTCGGACTCCATGTAACTATTGCACGAAGCACATTAAGTTCAATGACATAAACCGAAAAGGAGAATAGAAATGAAAAGGAGGATAAGAGGAAGTGTAGAAATTGATCCATGATTTAACAGCCTAGCAACATTTTAACTCGAAAGAAAGTCAAAACAACATCTTCGGAGAGCTCTCTCCAGAAGAAAAGAAAGGGACTTTTTAATTAGATATTTTTTCTCTATAGCAAAGTAATTAAAAAGAAAGAGGGGCTATCGATTCTAATAAAAAAAGGGTAGAGGAGCTTCTTGTGTGCAATTTTCAACTTTACCGGAAAGCACTATAAAACATCTTTTAAACATACTTTTTTTCCCCTCCTTTTTCCAAAATCTGCTGGAAGGATATGCCATTAGTAGGATCCAGCTTACTTTTGTTCCTTAATAAAACTCGGTTAATGTAAAAACTCTTACTCTTAGTTGCATGGTAGGAAGCGATGGAAACTTAAACCTATCTATTGATACCGAAATCATGAGTAAAGATTAACTTACCGCCAATTTGTCATCTGAACAAATCGTTGTAAACCAGATCCAACTACATGCCAGGAACCGCTATCACGAACAATTTCAAAGTCATCAATAGAAGCACTACGTTGCTTGTGTATTCTATCTGCCACATGGTCCAGATTCTCTGGTATTTTCCCACCTAAAATGGACAGAGTTCGTTAACACAACTTATTCATTGTGAATAAACAATCAAAGATTTATATAATAGAGGAAAATTCTGGGAACAATAAGTTATATGACCTTGAAATTCCCTGGCTTCTTTAGTTTCCCTTAGTAGCTGATATGCAGCACTAATGACTTCATGAGTGCCCTCTCTTTTTACGGCACTCATACAAAAAGTTTCAATCCCACGAGCTTGTAGCTTTTCCTTGAATGCTGGCCAGTTTTCGTAAGCTTCAGGAAGATCCATTTTATTATAGGCAACAAGATAGGGTTTTTCAGCTAGTTCGGGGCTAAAGAGCTCCAACTCCAAACGAACAGCATCAAATTCATATTCAGGTTGTGGTCCTGACCCATCGACCACATGCACCTATAACTCCACAAGGGAAAATAAAGATTCTTGAGCCTTCCATGGATTACGATGCCAACAAATGTTGAAGAAAAAATAAAAATGGAAAAAGAGATTGCAGTTTTATTTTCCATAAAACACAGTAGAAGAGGTATTTATGACATTTCGCATCATTCCAATAGATCAAGGGATTATTTTGAAGTAATATTATAATGTACAAAGCCTTGGAGAAGGTAAATTTATCATTTAGCTTCATATACAAATGCGAATAGATATCCCCATTTAAGAACAGGACTTTTATGATTAATCAGCACTCACCAAAAGGATTATAAATCAAGTGTAAACTATAGGATATGAAATTGTACCAGTGAAGAACACCTTTCAGTGTGACGTAGAAACTCATGGCCTAAGCCAAACCCCTCGTGTGCGCCTTCAAGTAATCCTGGAAGATCTGCTACCACCATAGTTGAGTCATAGTCAAAAGAAACAACACCCAAGTTTGGGAGTAGGGTAGTAAAAGGGTAATTTGCTATGGCTGGCTGTGCAGCACTTATCACGCTCAAAAGTGTGCTTTTCCCTGCATTTGGTGCCCCGACGATTCCAACGTCTGCAACAAGCTTTAGCTCCAACTCCAACCACCTGAAGAAAATAATTAGTACTCCTATCCAAATAATCATCCATTCATAAGACAACAATAAGTTGTTTTTCTATAAGAAAACTACTTTCATTAAGCCATGGGAAATAGTTTTTAACGAGTTCCTAGAACTGCCTGTCCCCACCTCATCTCAATCCTATCCCTTAGAATGGCATCACCCATTTTGCTCAATGATCTTGCGTCGTCTCACACTGAGGGAAAATGGCATGTCCATTCGGGGCAAAAACATTGAATATTATAGAACCAAAATACCCAAAACCCCGAACTACATCCTCACAAGGTTTAGGCACTAGCTCCCACCAAACTAATAAGAGCTAACACCCTCCACCCCATCTCCCATAGAATCCCACATTATTATTTCAATTTAGCACAAACGGGGAAAAGGATCTTTAAAGATGGAAAGGAAGTGAAGTGTAATACAACTCCAAGTAGACATGACTAAAGTCAGTATGCCACTTAAGGGAACAATAAAATAAAATAAATAAATAAAGCTCTTCATTAAGCAAGCTTAAGTATTTTTTTTCTCAATCAGATCTCAAAACGGGAATTGAAAAAAGGTCATAAGGAACCCTTCTTTCCCACCATCAAGCCTTCGACTAAACCACTCTCCGCACCCCTGGACAATGTCTTCCATCGACAAGAAAATCTCAACTCAAGTGATTGTAAGCTATGTAGAAAAAAAAATCTTTCTTCTACAAAACTTCATCAACAAAATCTCAACTCAATGATCCTCAAACTTTTCGACGTTTTATTGCAAAAAGAATTTTTTTTATTGATAATTAATATTGATTTTAAATTCCGTAGGTTCCTAATGAACTATATACTGTGTCAATGAGATCCTCATCCATAGTTTTTCTTAAAGCCACAGAGCTACCCAATTAGAAGAAATAGTATGAGCTAATACCTTCCTCATTCTATCTGCCAAAGCCTTAGCATTGATGTGGTAGAGATTTCTCAAAAGATTAGTTGGCTAGGAAGAAGACAAATGTAGGTCTCCCTCATATTCACATTGATTATACCACTTTGAAAAGACTCATTAGCCACCTCTAATAAATTGAAAAGACTCATTAGACCTCTAATAAATTGGGCTGGAGCTTAGTAATTTCTCAATCACCCAAATATAGGTCAAGGGGAACCATTAGGATGTGACACCTTGAAACTTTGTAAACTAAACACAGCCCTTAATCTCCTAAGAATGAAAAGCCTCTTCAAACTTTCCCTCTAAGGATTCGAATCTAGTCCCTCGACAAATAGCTTACAAACTTAGGAATGAGCATAGAAGGGAGAGGATAAGATGACCATCTTTTCCCTCTCCTTGTCCCCAGTAGTCACGCTATCATTATCATCAGCAAAAGAGAATCAAATATCCTGAAATTGAAAAAATTATGAAAGAAACACGTGTAGCTATCCCTTCTTTCATCCACATGACTCTTAATTTCATTCTCAGCTAGCAAGACCATTATAAGAGTACAATCAACTTAACTATCCTCATTGCTTGAAAAGAAGAAGAATGTCCTCACACGGGCAGTCTCCAAGCACAAAGGAGGAAGCATTTGAACAAACGACCATTACTATAAATGGTGCAAAACAATTAAGAATATGCGTGCTCGTGTGGTGAGAGACACAACAAGAGCATTAGGTACCATTTTCAAAAAATCATACAAAAAAGGAAGAAAATAAAAACTCACATTTCTGAACCCTCTTCTCCATTCTCTGAAATCTTCGGAACCTTATTTGACCCGGATTTGAATGATGCATTGCCTCTTCCACCTCTTCCACCGCGCAGCAACAGAGCCCGCTGCCCCGGATGTAACAATTCCAACAGAATCTCCTGGCTAAATGCGTCTCTTATCACTGTTCCAGGGGCCACTTTCACCACCACATCCTCACCCTTCGCCCCGTTTTGCATTCTCCCCTGCCCATGACTACCCCTTCCTGCACGAAAATGTATACCATTTCGAAATGGCAATAGCGAATTCATCGACGCATCAACTTCAACATACACATTCCCACCTCTCCCTCCATCTCCTCCTGAAGGGCCACCCAGCGGCACATACTTCTCGCGCCGAAATGCCACAACGCCATTGCCACCATCTCCAGCTTTCACATAGATTTTCGCTCGATCAAAGCACCGCATTACTGCTGGCAGCCCCTTTTCCTTCACATCTTCTTCGCCAGCTTCATAAGCACCATCATAATAGGTTTCCACTTCATCAGTATCAACAAATCTCCCCTTCCTAAATGCCAAAACCTTCTCTCCTTCCTCATCTAACTCTTCCTCTTCCTCTTCCTCTTCCTCTTCCTCTTCCTCTTCCACTTCACTATCATCGCCATACTCCTCCATTTCAGAGTCATATTCCCCCTCAAACACTTCAAACTTCCCATAGCCATTCCCAAAAGCCAAATTCCCATCCAATCCTCCTTCCTCTTTTTCCTCCCTCTCTTCGAAGTTCAAAGAATCCAAATCATTTTCCTCCTCAATTATCGCAACATCCGAATCCAAAAGCTTCACCTCGGACGAAACCTTCGAAGAAGAAGAAGAAGAAGAAGAATCAAAAGACGGGGAATCAAAGCTAAGAAGAGCGAAGTCTTCCCTGGGAGGGAGGCGGGTGTAGGTAGTGGCTTCAACGCCAATGGAAGATAACTCCTTCGAATTGGTTCTTATCTTAACGCTATTACGATCAAGCTTGTCGTTCCCTCGAAGCTTCTTGGGCGACTGTATTCTTCTAGGGTTTCGAATTCTGGGCCGTGCAAGAGCTTGCGGAGCAAAGCAAATTGAAATGGCGGCCATTTCCAAATCCGATGAAGCGGCAAATTTGCAGTGCAACTCCAAGTTCGCGGGGTTTGAGATGCGGTTACGAAAGGGGTTTTTACAGCCATTCAATTTTCGACACGTGTCCATACACTTGAACGTCATCTTAATAACCCAATCTTCACTAACAGCCATTCAATTTTCGACACGTGTCCATACACTTGAACGTCATCTTAATAACCCAATCTTCACTACTACGACGTCGTTTTAAACCAATGACTGTGCTGATGGTTTTGCATTTCGGCCCTCGAATTCTTGAAATTTATATTTTGGGTAGGTAATTCTTTTTATTATTATTTATTTAACATTAAAAATATTGTCTTTATATGAGTTTTATTTAATTTCGGTCCATATACTTTAATATAGCTTAAAATTGGTTTAATTTAATGTTATTTTTGAAAAATAGTCTATATCCACTATTATAGTGAATATCTTTTATTTCGTAAAATTAATATTATTATTCAATCAAATTAATTAAAAATAATAATTTTGAATTTACAGTTTGGACTAATTTTAAATTTTATTGAAAAATATTTATACTACATTATTAGACTTGAGCGGTTGATACGACACGAATTAAGTATATTTTTATTACTATTTTTTAATGTAAATTTGAGAGTTAAAATAAAACCTATAGCATAAATTGAGAGTTTGTAATATATATTATTTATGTATTATTATTATTATTNACAGCCATTCAATTTTCGACACGTGTCCATACACTTGAACGTCATCTTAATAACCCAATCTTCACTACTACGACGTCGTTTTAAACCAATGACTGTGCTGATGGTTTTGCATTTCGGCCCTCGAATTCTTGAAATTTATATTTTGGGTAGGTAATTCTTTTTATTATTATTTATTTAACATTAAAAATATTGTCTTTATATGAGTTTTATTTAATTTCGGTCCATATACTTTAATATAGCTTAAAATTGGTTTAATTTAATGTTATTTTTTAAAAATAGTCTATATCCACTATTATAGTGAATATCTTTTATTTCGTAAAATTAATATTATTATTCAATCAAGTTAATTAAAAATAATAATTTTGAATTTACAGACTAATTTTAAATTTTATTGAAAAATATTTATACTACATTATTAGACTTGAGCTGTTGATACGACACGAATTAAGTATATTTTTATTACTATTTTTTAATGTAAATTTGAGAGTTAAAATAAAACCTATAGCATAAATTGAGAGTTTGTAATATATATTATTTATGTATTATTATTATTATTAAAATAAAACCTATAGCATAAATTGAGAGTTTGTAATATATATTATTTATGTATTATTATTATTATTTATAATTCAAACAATAAATAGCTGGCTCGTGACAAAAGCTAGAAAAAGACAAAAAGAAAGAGGCCAAATTTTGGAATATTGAAATTTAGTGGCCAATTGTGTTAATTTTGAAAGAATAGCGAGGTTAAATTGAAAACAATTTAACAACGAGGCCCTGGGGTTGATAATTGTCATAGATTTAGAGAGATCTCCCAAGTGGCGAGTAAATTAACAGAAACAAAATCATCACCGAGTTCATTCAATCGTGAACCACCTTCGACCAACCTGCGTGCGGCTCGATCGGAGCTAGGGTTTTTTCACTCGAGCTTCTCCGGCGGCTGAGAGGCGTCTTGAATCGGACAATTGAAGTCGCATTCCAAATTGGAGTTGTTTGCGTAGCTTGAGAGCACCGGTGGTTATTGCTCAACTATGTATAGTGGTTCCAGTGACGGCGAAGGCCATGAGGCCCCGCAACGGAAGGTACCTCCAGCTTCGTCTATGCTGTGGGTGAGGAACCTCAGGAGATTCATCGGAACCGGTACCGGGCTGGGATCTGAAGCTTTGATGGGTTCGTGTTTCCCCCATATTTCTTGTTCTTCTTGCTTTCAGTTAGTGTTCGTTTGTTTTACGGAAATTTTCTCTGATTTGGTTGATTTTCCTGAACTATGGCTGCAACGAAACTTAATTGTGCTGAAAGAAAATAGGAAGTTGTTTCAATTCTTTGAATCTGTAACTTTTTGTTGTAAAATGTGGAGTATTCAGTATTTAGGAACAAACGATACAATCCAGTGCTCAGTTTATCTTAAGAGGCATAAAAATATGAACGGATCAATCCCTGCAATGGCTATTTCTAGTCGATCTGGGTTCTTGAAAATTGAATTAATTCAAAAAAAATCAGGAAATGCATGGCTCCTAAATTGTATGCATCTTTTGTTAGAGCCACTGAAGAAAATTGATCAAAGGTGAATGTATGCTACTTGATGAACCCTTTAATCTACTTTTGGAACCCTAATCTTCTACTTTGGCCCTTTTAAGCATGCATGTCCATATGCACATGTTCTTGCTGCTTTAGGAATTCATCGAGTAGAGTTGGAGACTCTTGATAATTATCCTTCCTCTTGGATCTATTTTATTTTAGAATTTAAAAAAAAAAAAAAAAATTGGCTAGGGTTCGTCAAGGAAATTCTGATTATGATCTAGCAATTAGCAATTCCTTCCCCCTCTATATACATTTAAATGATAAGTTCTGTTTTTTTCCCTCCTACTCTTACCGCTGTTACACCTTGATCAACTGTGTATCTGAAAAACTATTGTTGATGTTAGAAGAAGTATGACAGTGAAATTGGGAACCTAATTTCTTTTCCCCCCTCTTTTTTGTAGAGCTTGAGACAAAAAAAATTCTACTTGATATTTTCAAAGAGAAGCAACGGAAAACTGCTGAAGCTGGTACAATCCCAAGTTTTTACAAGAAGGCATGTGTAATTATAGTTTACATGTATTAAGAGTAAACTCGGCTGCATAGTTAGTCCTTTGATTTTAAATTGAAAAAGAGATGCTCTATCATGTCCTAATGTATTGTTGACATCATGATAGAAGAGATGCAAGTTTGCAGACTGAAGATATACTAACCCAGAGCTTGGCTGTGCCATTTATTTTTATTTGTTTCATTGAATTGTGTTTTCTCTTCTTTAGAAACCTGAGGAGGGATCCATCAGCCACAGGGTTCAGAGACTTGCCAAGTATCGGTTCCTAAAGGTATAATTACCCTTATCCATTTGCACGACGGATGTTCCATAGATTTATCTGTTTGAGCACAAATATTGAGTTTTCTGCACCACACATTTTTGATGTGCAGAAACAATCGGATCTTCTGTTAAATGCTGATGACCTAGATGCAATGTGGGTTTGCCTGAGGGAAAACTGTGTAATTGATGATGCAACTGGTGCAGAAAAGGTAATATATTTCTGGCTTGATATTTTCGGCAACATGCCACATAAGCTTACATCTTCTATATTCCTTGAGCTGAAGTTCATATAGCAACTTGCATATCGCTTAGGATTGCTATTGGAAACTTTTCCAGACATGACTGCATAGGTTAATATATTAGCAACGTTTCTGGAGGAAAAGTGTACATGTACAATAGTATTAGCTTGCTTAGCAGCCTAAGATTGTGAGTGTTCTGAAAGGATTGTTTATTTCATTTTAAAGTGCATATTTTTTGTTTCTGGAAAACGTTAATTTAATGGTTCAAGGCAACAATTGTACATGGTAATTAACATCCTGTGATTACGATTGTCTGTCCTTGTAACTGTAATTTACCTCTGGTTATTTTGTTTGAGCTCTTGTGACTGCAGCATATTTTTCTAGATCTGTAGTAATGCTTACATGTTCTCTTGTTTTTCATTCCTTAGATGAACTACGAAGATTTTTGCCACATTGCTTCCGTATGTGCTGAGCAAATAGGACCTAAATGCCGACGATTTTTCAGTCCCTCTAATTTCATGAAGTTTGAGAAAGATGAGTCTGGAAGAATTGCAATCCTTCCCTTCTATCTATATGTGATGAGAACGGTGAGTTTAGACACTAAGGATTAACGGTATTCTTCCATATCAATGTATGAGGAAGTATAAATGATGGAATAATCTGCACTTAGAAGTCAATAGTTGTCGTGCTTTTTTTTTTAGTTTCTTGCCAATTGAGGGTTTGGAACCCAAAATGTGGGCATTATGGCAATTAGTCTTGGCCAATTGAACGGCCTTATAGGACTTTGTTGGAGTTATTAAGATTCGTAATATTCTTTTAGCATTCCATTGCATCATTCAAAGGTTGCATACTCTATATATGAACTATGAAGCATTCCAAGGGAGTGAAACTTCAATGTCTATTTATTTATAGAAAAGGCTCTTATTTATTTATATTTATTTTATTTTATTTTTATGAAGTGATAGAGAAAAGTCTGTTGAGATGTTTGGAGGATTTTTATTCTTCCATGTCAATTTGATATGGGATTTTCTCTTTATTCTTCAGGTTTCTCTTACTCAAGCGAGAATTGATATGAGTGAACTTGATGAGGATTCTGATGGTTTCCTTCAACCTCACGTATGATCCTTCTGCATATTTTGTGTTCAAAGACTGGATATACGAGAATTTTATCTTGTTCCTGTGGCAACTTGCGTAACCACATTAATGAATGTTCTATTATCTTTCTGTAGGAAATGGAGGGCTATATAAGAGGTCTTATTCCAAATTTGGCTCAACTACGAGATATTCCTGCATCTTTTGTGCAAACATATTGTCGTATAGCTGCTCGCAAATTCTTCTTCTTTTGTGATCCTGCAAGAAGAGGTTTGCCTACGGTCTTGAATTGTGTTAGAAATATGTTATCTTGATTTTTCATAATTCCTTTGTTTAATTTTGTATTTGAACCTTTCAATATATATTTTTTATGGTAACATACTTGGATTAATGTGTCTTAAATTTCATTGTTAATTTTTGTAGGAAAAGCTTGCATAAAGAAGGTGCTGCTCAGCAATTGTCTGCAGGAATTAATGGAACTGCACCAGGTAGATCATGCATCAATATGCTCAAGGTTAATGTTATCAAACACCGAATTGGCTTTGGGTGTGAACTTATGGCTATACTCAAAGCAAACCTAAACTTAATGATCAAATTCTTAATAATATTGTGAGAATCTAAAAGATTCTAGTTTCCTGATAAAAGAGATTCATA